TTTATCAAGTTAGATATTGGTATTGGCTTCCTTCTACTAAAACACCAGGGGTTTGGTCTAGGTCCTGTACTCAGTGCACAGAAAGCCAATGACTGAGACAACGAGTACTGCCAAGGAAGAAAGCTTTACTGGGGTGCTGTAGCTGAGGAGATGGGAGCTCAGTCTCAAATCCATCTCCCTGACTGGCTAAAACTAGGGGTTTATGTATCAGGGAAGAATATAACAATGCATAAGAAAACAGGAACTAGAAAGGGGCAGGGAAGCAATCTGAGGGGTCCAGCATCTTATTTCTGGATGCTTGATCTGTTCTTTGATACTTTTTTTTTTTTTTTTGAGAGGCCTGAAGTTCTTTTCCTGAGGAAGAAACTCAGATAAAACAAATATATTTCAAGTTTTAAGACCAGGGGGTCAATTTTTATGTTTATTAAAAAAACAAAACAAAACAAAAAAAACTGAAACTATTGGATTGGTTTCAATAGGATCTCTTAAGAGCAAAAACTACTTCTTACTAACATTTAGAGCCCCAAGACCTGGCCTTGGGACTGGCAGGGAGTGAATGTTAAAAAACATTTGTTAAATAAAGGAATAACCTGAGTGGTCAAGGGAGGGGAAGGCATTCAAAGCAGAGAGGAAAGCAGGGATAAAGAGCAGAGGCCCATTCTTCCTGACAAACAGGACCCTGATTTAATTCAGGGCAGCTATGTCCCCAGCTAAAATTACCTCTCACACTCCATTGGACCAAGGAGAGACCATGTGATCCTGTCCTAGCCAAAGAGATGTTAAGTCAGAGTTGCTGGGTGGAGCTTCAGGGAAAGATTTTCAAAGGAAACCTGAAGCAGTTGGCACATCATTTGGTCCTTTTCATCCTTCTGCATTCTTTCTTCCTGGAACAAGAATGTGATTTCTGGAGGTTTAGCAACTATATTGCAGCCACATTCTAAAGATGGAGAAACAAAATAATAGAAGGAGCTGAATGTTTGAAGGCATTATTCAATTTTACACCAGCCCAGAACTGCAGATCTCTAGATGGGATATTATCTGAGACTAATCATGCTTTTATTTGTTTCAGATTATATAATTAGGTTTTCTATTGCTTGGGGCTGCATGTCTTTTTCTGCTGAGGGAGATGGAAAATGAATGGCTGAAAGTTGATAGTTGTTCATTGTAGAGAAGTATTCATTATACTAGTCTCTCAACTTTTGTTTATTTCTAAAATTTTCCATAAGAAAAAGTTTAAAAGAACTATGGAAATAAAAAATACATATAAATCATCCTTACAAATATGATTTCCAAAAAGGATTTTTGCAACACACCTGGGCTTCAGAGGTTGTTGCTATGTCTAGTGACACTAAGTCCTAACTTCTAAAAAGTCTGTGATCTTGATTGGTTGTCTCAATTAATAACAATTTGTACTGCTGATGACATTTAAATTGACATCCTCATTTTTGTGTGTTGAGGGTGGCTGGGGGGAAGTACAAATATCCATGAATTTTCTCTTTTTAGCCAGGAAGGGACCATTGGCATGCATCTTTTATATACACAAGGTGAAATAAAACTACCCTGCTGGATTTCTTGTTTAAACAAAGAGTCTGAGAATTTTGTTTCATTTAAATTAATAAATGAATGGGAAGCTAAGAGCAGAGCTTGGTGATCCCATGCTGAACTCAAGTGTGAGGCAACCAGAGGGAAGCAAAACTCACCCTCATGTGTTGGACGCTTCTTGTGCAACACTCACATCCTGTCAGTCCAGTTTTGAACCCAGCCGTCGCTGCAGCCACCAGAGCTGTGTAGGCATAACCCAACAGCAGCATGCCTCAGCTGCAGTGTGTTTCTCTCACTTCTGCCCAGGATTTCTCTGAAGCCTCAGTGGGAAATGCCTGTGGAAACTCACAGGCACTCATGCATATGAGCCCTGAGTGTGGGAAGAATTAGCAAGGGACATTTGCTAAGAGGAGATGGGAACCAGGAGATAAATGCTCCCCACTTCCATCCTTCTGGTGGACAATTTTGGGGTGCCTCTACACAGTCTGATGGGATCAAACCAACTCATTAGCCCCGACTTGAACTGGCTTTCCTTCCTTCTCTGGGTCTAGCTTCCCAGTTCCTGTAGAGACTAACTCATCCCAGTTTGCTTGTGACTTCTCTAATTCTAGCACTGAAAATCTCACATATTAGGAAACCCGGCAGTCCCCAGAAAGCAGGAACAGCTGGTCACCCTACTAGTTCCTCACTCTTGCACCCTGAAGTTACCTCCCAAATAAATCCTCTTCAAGCAACTCCTTGTGTCAGGCTTTATTTTTGGAAGGGAACTCAGGCAGTGATAATGCATTTGGGTCTTGACTGAGCACATACCTGTCTCGATTTGTTTCTAATCAGCTCATGAAACAGGAGCACTAGGGAGCAGTGGGCCAAGAACATCTACACAGTGTCAGGAAGCAAAAACTGCAGTTTCTGTTTTCTATTGTGAATAGAAATTGTCTTGTGGATTTTCCCAGGTATTCTTGGGTGTGAATCTACAGAATACAGGTAGAGTTCCATCCAACCAAGCAGATTGGAAGAGCTCTTGTGTCTCTGACTCTTAGAATGAATACTTCCAGGTTGGGTTTGTTATATTCCAATTCTGCGTTGGAATTTTATCTGGGCCAGGCATGGTGGCTCATGCCTCAATCTCAGCACTTTGGGAGCCCAAGGCGGGAGGATCTTTTGAGGCCAAGAGTTTGAGACCAGCTTTGGCAACATAGGGAGACCTTGTCTCTACTAAAAATTAAAAAAAATAAAATTTTAAAATTTTAAAAAAAGGCAAAGAAGAAGAAAGAAAAAAATAATTAGCCAGGTGTGGTGGCACATACCTGTAATTCCAACTACTTGGAACCTGAAGCAGGAGGATTGCTTGAGCCCAAGAGTTGGAGGTTACAGTGAGCTATGAATGAGCCACAGCACTCTAGCCTGGGTGACAGATAAATAAATAAAATTTAAAAATAGAATTTTATCCAATTTGAAGCTAGAGTGTTTTCTTTCTGTTGGAATTAAGTTCCAGCAAGTGAAGTTACCCTAGAGGATCCAAGAGGCAAAACTCTGAACCAGAGAAGGTTGTTTTGCACCAGAAACAAGGAATTCATGCCCCTTAGAAGATAAATATGTGTATGACATTCAGGGATGCTCAGGTGGCTTTGTGTTTTTCTGAATAGTTTCTTCTTTCTTTTCCTTGGGGGAAAAATGCTACTGCTGAATCTTCAGATTGTCCAATAATTTAATAATGTATTCTGTTGTGTGAGAGATTTGCTCCCCTGTGCAAAAGCCCAGCTGTGTTGGTCTTGCATTGATAGAAATTGAGTGACTGAGAGTGGGGAGTCCAAGGGAATTCTGAACCCCAACAGATTTTTCAGCTTGCTTGTTTCTGGAGGATTGGCCTGGACACACATGAATGACAAAGACATGAGTTTGATATCAAAGATACTTTGAATTATTAAATAATTAGGCCTCCTCTGTAGGTTTGTAGAAAATATAGCTAAAATGTCTCTCTAGTGGATTTCCTATTCATAATGGCTTCAATAGACCACTGAGAGCTTATGTAAATCTAAGATAAAGGGATTCAACGTCTCCCAAGGGGAAAAGTTAAGAAATTAAGCCTCACCTCCAATAATTTAAATGTGCCAGCCCTTTATGAAAAGACCTCCAGGCTGACAGAAAAATAAAAGAAAACCTTCCAAGCCACAGAACACCATGTTTGCAAAGAGACTTAAGCTATAAATTGCACTCTGTAATTTATGTTAATACATTTAAATAGACTAAAGAAATTAGTCTTCAAAAGCATGAATCTTTTAACATTCTACTTAGAAAAATGACTTCTGAGTGAAAAAAATACTCAATTGAGTATTAAAAACTCTATGTAAGAGGTAAGTTTTATATTCTTATAAGAACAAAATGCAATATGTGTAAATAACTTTGGAAAATACACTACTAGGTTATTAATACAAATTTAAATACTATTCCTGTTTTCAAATCTAAGCCCTTTCTTCAAAATGTTTTTGGATAGGAAAACAGTAAAATCTAAGTTTGGTTAACAGGCTTCAAGCTTCCTGCTGAGTTACAAAATAAATATGCAGATCAGGCCCAATAATATGCAAATTCACATCATGCCAAAAATTAGTAGTCATAAAGACTTTAAGAAATCCTTCAATTCTAAGACTTCTAATCAATAATTAGAGAGTCTTATCACTCTATCAAATAAACACAAGGGGGCCTTAAGCCACTCTGTCAGGTGACCTGCATAAAGCCTTGGCCCAGTGCGTCCTTGCAGTCTGTGGATTGCGCGACTGCCTTCTGTGGCTCAGGGACAAGACGTCACCATCCAGCCTATAAATGACTGAAGACAGAAATCCAGCATGGTCTTCTTTTGAATTCTCCAGTTGGAAACCCCTATGTACCCTCATTTTTTTTCTAGAGTTCTGTTTTTCTAAAGTAACCTGGAGACCGATGGGTAAATGACCATGTGTGCACATATAACGAACATTCTTTTTCTTCTTCCTTCCTTTCTTTTTTCCAGCATTCCTCCCTCCTTTCCTTCCTGCTTCCCTCCTGTCCCCTCCTTCCCTCCCTTCTTCCTTCCCTTCTTTTTTTAGAGACAGGATCTCACTGTGTTACTCAGGCTGGAGTTCAGTGGCACAATCATTACTACACTGCAGCCTCAAACTCCTGGGCTTAAGCAATCCTCCCGCCTCAGCCTCCTGATTAGGTAGGACTATAGGTGCACACCATCACACTCGGCTAGTTTTTAGTAGAAACAGGGGTCTCACTATGTTGCCCAGGCTTATCTTGAACTCCTGGCCTCAAGCGTGGCCTTCCAAAGTGGTGGGATTACAAGTGTGAGCCACCATGCCTAGCCAACTTCTTAATTTTAGTTTCTTCAAGGGTGTTTTCTCTTTATTTTATCTTGGTGACCCACTGCTTTCACAAGTCAAAGAAAACAATATACTGGCTTGGTGAAAATAGTTCCAGATCCACTTGGAAAGACTTGGGGTGCTCTGGGTTTCCGAAAGGGCAGGGTTAAATGTGTACCCTGGCCCCTGGGGCTGCACTTGCCTATCACAGACTACTAAACACTGATGGAGCAAACTCCAGTTGCTGATTCATCCTAGAGCCTTTACTATGCTGATTCAAAAGAACACCAGAGCATTTTCTAACCTGTACACAACTCTGCTCTGTGGATGGGAACACTTCTACCCTCTCCTGCACACAATCAGTTCAATCAGTGTATGCCCCAAATGGTTCTCATTAGATCATTTTCGAGGGAATTACCAGGCACAATTTAGTTGTTTTAACCCTAAGAGAAAGAAATGTTGGTTTCAGCTGAGTCAGTATCTGGTATTTTAACTCACTTAGCTTTCCCTGCAGCTCAGACCAAGGGTGTGCCTTCCTGGACTGAAGGACTTGCACAGGCCAGCTCTCTGGTGTGGACCCATGGTCACTGACGACTGATTCTGCCCAGGTAACGCTCCCCCTCACTCTCAGGCATTACTGTCTTCTGGATATTGGTTTTATTTGACCAATAATCTTGCCAGAATCTTAAATCTGCGTGGGTCCCTGAGAATCCTTGTATTCAGGAGGATAAATATGTTCCGGGTATGAATGTGTATTTTGCGTGATCCTTCCCAGTTGATGAATTTGTTTTAAAAATGCATAACAGAAGCTCTCATGGCAAGAGTGCAGCTGAGGCGAGCAAATTAGCTTTGAAATTAGCTGCTGTTTTGGAGTTTGCTGTGATTTGGGGTTTGGAAGGAAAGGGAAAACAAGGAAGTAAAAGCTCTCTAATCTTGCCTGTGTACGCCCTTTATCACAAGGAGTTCTCCTTATTTGTCCTCCAGGTAGCTTGCTTGCAGCAATGTGCCTTTATCAGTAAGCGATTTTACAGGCAAAGCTCTCAAATAATATACAGATATAGAGTAGAAAAGTAAATAAATATAAGGAATTTAAATGCCAATGCCTGTGCCCTTAATATTCTGTCAAGAAAAACCCTTTAATAAAATAAGTTGTATTGTGAATTTTAGCTAAAAGGTCCTCTCCCTGATGTTACCACGGTGAGAAATAAAAATGCAAATGTTGGATTTCACATCCTAAAAGACTTTGAATTAATTTTTTTAATCCCTGCAAAAGCCAAATGAAGTGAAATTTGTAAATTTCCTGAGTGTCATTACTTGCACTAATATCTAAGAATATGCAAATATAAATGTAAATATTCAACTAGTTAAATTATTTGAAAGAACAAGTATTTTATAAATTGGTTCTTGTATTACTGGAACTCATTGCAAAATTGTGTGCATTTATAGTTAATCCAGTTAAAGTGAATAATACTTTGTTACTGTATTTCTCTCATGAATTCTTATCAATATTTAATGTTAACAATATATTTTTAAATCTGCAAATGATTCTGATCATGTGATCATTTACCCATCAACACAGAATATACATTCTTCTCATCTGTACATAGAACATACTCCAAGATCAACCACATGCTTGGTCATAATGCAAATCCAAATTTAAAAAAAATGAAATACTACCAACCATAGTCTCAGACCAGAGTGGAACAGAAACAGAGATCAATACTTGCTTCTGAAAGACTTTTGGATAAACAACAAAATTAAGGCAGAAATAAAAAACCTTTGAAATAAATGAAAACAGAGACACAACATACCAAAATCTCTGGGATTCAGCAAAAGTAGTGTTAAGAGGAAAGTTTATTAAGCTAAATGCCTACCTCAAAAAGTTAGAAAGATCTCAAATTAACAGTCTAACATCACACCTGGAGGAACTAGAAAAACAAACTAACCCCAAAGCTAGCAGAAGAAGAGAAATTACTAAAATCAGAGTAGAACTGAATGAAATGGGGACCCAAAATCCATGCAAAGAATCAATGCAACCAAAAGTTGATTCTTTGAAAGGATAAACAAGATCAATAGACTGCTAGCTAGAGTAAGAAGGAAAAAAGAGAGAAGATCCAAATAAGCACAATCAGAAATGACAAAGGTGACATTACAGCCAATCCCACAGAAATACAAAACATTCTCAAAAACTATTATAAATACCGGTAAGCACACAAACTAGAAAATCTAGAGGAATTTGATAAATCCCTAGAAACACAAAATCTCCCAATATTGAATCATGAAGAAATTGAAGTTCTGAACACACTAAAACGGGGTTCCAGAATTGAATCAGTAATTTAAAAAATCTGCTAACCCCAAAAAACCCTGGACCAGATGGAGTCACAGCTGAATTCTACCAGACATAAAAAAAAGAACTGGTACTAATCCTATGGAAATCATTCCAAAAAGTTGAGGAAGAGGTACTCCTTTCTAGCTCCTCCTCCTGTCCCGTGAAGACAGTATCACCCTAATTCCAAAACCTGGCAAAGATACAATGAAGAAAGAATACTGCAGGCCAATATCCCTTATGAACATGGATACAAAAATTTTCAACAAACTACTAGCAAACTGAAACCAGCTAATTCATTATGATCAAGTAGGCTTCATTCCTGGGATGAAAGTTTGGTTTGACATACATAAACAAGTAAGTGTGATTCACCAGACAAAATTAAAAGCAGAAGCCATATAATCATCTCAATAGACACGGAAAAACTTTTGATAAAATTTAACATCTCTTCATGATAAAAACTCTCAAGAAACTAGGCTTCAAAGGAACATACCTCAAAATAATATAAGCCATCTATGACAGACCCACAACCTACATATCATGCTGAATGGACAGAACTGGGAGCATTCCCCTTAAGAACTGGAACAAGACAAACATGCTTACTTTCACCACTCCTTTCAACATAGTACTGGAAGTCCTAGCCAGAGAAGTCAGGCAAGAGAAAGAAAGAAAAGGCATCCCAATAGACAAAGAAGTCAAACTATTTCTGTTTGCAGATGATATGATTTTGTACTTAGACAACTCTAAAGACTTTACCAAAAAACTCCTGAAACTGATAAACAACTTCAGTAAAGTTTCAGGATACAAAATCAATTTAGAAAAATTAGTAGCATTCCTATAAACCAAAACCTTTCAAGCTGAGAGTCAAATCAAGAATACAATCCCATTTACAATAGTCACCAAAAGAATAAAATACTTAGGAATACATCTAACCAAGGAGGTGAAAGACCTATACAAGAAGAACTACAAAACATTGCTGAAAGAAATTGTAGATGACACAAACAAATGGAAAAACATTTCATGCTCATGGATTGGAAGAATCAATATTGCTAAAACGGCCATATTGCCCTAAGCAACCTACAGATTCAATGTTGTTCCTATCAAGATACCAATGTCACTTTTCACAAAACTAGAAAAAACTATTCCAAATTCATATCAAACAGAAAAAGAGCCTGAATAGCTAATGCAATTCTAAGCCAAAAGAACAAAGCCAGAAGCATCACATTGCCCAATTTCACACTATACCATAATGCTACAGTAACCAAAACACCATGGTACTGGTACAAAAACAGACACATAGACCAATGAAACAGAATAAAGAACCCAGAAATAAAGCTGCACAACTACGGCCATCTGATCTTTGAGAAAGTTGACAAAAACAAGCAATGGGGAAAGGACTATCTATTTAATAAATGCTACTGGGATAACCTTACAAATCACAGTTGAGAACACAGATGCCTAATTAACTGGCAAAATAAGGAACTTTGCCTCCTGGGTCATTACATGGCCCTTTTCCATCCATCTCAACTAAAAAAATTTTCTGCTTCCCATAGTATTAAAATAAATTACTGAGAGAATATCCAGATACCCAGTGATGAAGCCTCCTGGCTATAGTGCTCCCAGTTATGAGATTTATGCAGATAGATATATTAAAAATTTTTTTTCATGACCCATATTAGGACAAGTTACAAAAAGACTATGAAAAGCCTTGTGGCACAATGAAAGTTTCTAAATTCCTTAGCTTAAATGGTTTTAAGGAAATATTTATGTTTTGTATAGCTAATTGCTATGAAACCACCATTGCAAAAATGATAGCTGAGGAAGTTATGACAGTGAAAGAGATCAGACCTAACTGACTCTATCTTGCTTCTAAACTTTAAACTGTTGTTATTCATTCCTGGGCAAAGTTTGAACTAACCTTGGGAAGGACTTTATGGTTTGACTCTGAAACAAAATTGATAATAGCCCTTTCCCGAAAAGACCTCTCTCTTGCCTAGGGACCAGTCTGCCATTGTAGGACTAACAAATTAGCTACAAGATTAGAAATTATGGTTTAGTGGTCATGTAGCCTCTGGATGCAAGAGTTCAAGCCTCCCAAATTGCTCCTAGGGATCACATCGCGATTGTAAAACCTAAGATCAGTGCTTAGATGTCTTGCAGACCCTGCACTGGATGGATCAACTGACACTACCAAGACTCACCAGCTTGTGATATGTGGCTTACCAGCTCTGTGATACCATTAGGAACAAAAGTCAGCAAGAAAACCTCACTTTGACCCACTCTGTGATTCCATATCCAGCCTGACCCACTAGCACTCCCCATTTTCGGAGCTTCTAACCGCCAAATTACCTCTAAAATCTTTGATCCCTGAATGCTCCAGGAGACTAATTTGAGTGATAATAAAACTCTGGTATCTCGCACAGCTGGCTCTGTGCGAATTGCTCTTTCTCTATTGCAATTCCCCTGTCTTGATAAATTGGCTGTGTGGCTGTGTCTAGGCAGAGGGCAAGGTGAAAAGGTGGTTTCATCTGCAAATGTGTAACTAACACCAAGATTGTAGTAGCTCAATGCATAGAAGTTAAAGATTGTTCAGTTTTGTAGCCTTGCCTTTGGCTTTTGGTTTTTGGCTTTTATATTACTTAAAGAATTTTAGGCTGGGCACAGTGGCTCATACCTGTAATCCCAGTACTTTGGGAGGCTGAGGCAGGCAGATCGCCTGTGGTCAGGAGTTCAAGACCAGCCTGGCCAACATGGTGAAACCCTGTCTCTACTAAAAATACAAACAATTAGCCAGGCATGGTGGTGCACACCTGTAATCCCAGCTACTTGGGAGGCTGAGCCAGGAAAATCGCTTGAACCCTAGAGGCAGAGGTTGAAGTGAGCCAAGGTCACACCACTGCACTCCAGCCTGGGTGACAGAGCAAGACTGTCTCAAAAAAAAAAAAAAAAAAAAAAAAATTTAAGAGTTGATGTCAATGCCTGCCCACCTCCATTCATGTCTGGCCTAGAACCTTTAAACTGGCTATAAGTCCTTGGGGTCTAAGTACCTTTACCATACGTGTTCCACTAAGGGACAGGATGAACCTAGGGCAGGCAACTATGTCACCCTGACAACACTTTGGGACGAAATAAAAATGTGACCGTTGATATTGCCTCTGACAAATCCCGGCCAGAAGGAGGAGGAATGTAAACTCAAAATAAAATTCTAACCCCTCTAACCAACTGACTGGAACCCCCTTCTTGGCCCAGAGGATCCCCAAAAACTCTGAAAACTAGTTCAGGCCATGACAGAAATGAGGGGTCACACATGCATCATAAAACCCTGGTCCCTTTGGAGTTTAGACACAACTGACCAGCATTAACCTCTTTGATCAGCATTAACAGATTCTTTGTAGCAATAAGATACCAGATTCCAACCTGATTCTGGCACAACATCTCATGACAGATAGCAGTCCCTGATGGAAATCAAAGTATTTTACCTTCAAAATATATTTTTGGACATATTTTGAAATAGCTCTGCAAAGCTGTCTCTTCTGGGGAAAATTTACATTCTGTAGAGAATCCCCTTTTCTTACTAGGTCTTTTCTGGAGATTCTGACACATTTTAAGGTCCAATAAGAGACATTCATGTCATTTTCTCTGAATGTGGGAGCTTCTTCTACATGACAAGAACCTTGGCTTCCACAACCCCCAATCCCCTTATCTTAAGCTGACTTCAGCTATTTAGGCAGAGTTTTACTCAGCCAGTTACCAATCAGGAAACCTTTGAATCCACCTATGAGCTGGAAGCCCCTGCATCAAGATGTCCTGCCTTCTTAGGCCAAGGCAATGTAAACCTTACATGTATTGATTTATGTCTTTGTTCATTATTTCAAAGCATCTCAACAATGATGTGCATCCAAGCATTCTATTCTAGATGCAGCATACCAAGTGACCTCCATAGACAGAATAATGGTAAAAGTGGCTGACTGAAATTACATAAGATTTATCAAATGAAGACATCACTGGAACTTTATTGGAAGGGACCTTATCAAGCCCTGCCAAGTACTAAAATGGCTGATACTTTGTATTAGTTAGGATTCTCCAGAGAAGTACAATGAATACGAGATAATAGATAGGTAGATTGATTGATTGATTGACTGGTTTATAATGGGAATTGTCTCACAAACATGACATGCCATATGCCACCTGCAAGTTGGAGACCCAGAAAACAGAAAAGCTGGTTCTGGAGACAAGCTGGTGGCTTCAGCCCGAGTTTAAAGGCCTGAGGACCAAGAAAGTCAATGGAGTAATTCCCAATCTAAGTCTATCAGCCCAAGAAAGGAGGTGGGATTAAGTCCCTGAGTCTGAAGACGTGGGAACCAGGAGCTCTGATGTCCAATGACAGGAGAAGATGGACACCCCAGCGCAAGGAGAAAAAGAGTTCACCTTTGATGTCTACCATCACCTACCCATGAGGGCAGATCTTCCTTACTCAGCATATTGATTTGAATGCTAATCTCTTCTAGAAACACTCTCACAGACACACTCAGAAATAATGTTTACCAGCCATCTGGGTATCCCCTTAGGCCAATCAAGTTGACACATTGAATTAACCAGCGCACAGGTGCCAAGGCTTTTGGTATTATATCTCGTGTTCTAACTGTGAGAAAATGTACTCACCCACTTAACAACTTCTTGCTTTTGTCTTAAACACAGGGATCAATGGCTTTTTTCTCTCTTGAGATCCAGCAAGCGTACAACTCCTAGAAGTGTTATAGAGCAGTGGCCTGGTTTTCTATTCCAATCCTGATCTGCTGGTAAGTGGACGTTGACTTAGTCTGTTTTCTGCTGCTAAAACTGAATGCCACAGACTGGGTAGTCTATAAAGAAGAGAGATTTATTTAGGTCACGGTTCTGGAGTTCAGGAAGTCCAAGAGCGTGGCACTAACACCTGGTAAGAGACTTCTTGCCCCATCATAACATCATGAAGGGCATCTCATGGTGAGAGGGCAAGAGGGTGTGTGTCAGCTCAGGCCTCTCTTCCTTGTCCTCTTCTTATAAAGTCCCCAGTTCTATCATGAGGGCTTATCTAATTCTAATTACCTCCCAAAGTCCTCACTTCCAATCGACATATAAATTTGGGGATTACATTTCCACACATGAAGTCTGGGGGACACATTCAAACCATAGCTGATATCTATATGAAAAGCAATACAGTTTGACTTTTCCTTCAACCATACCCCTAAATCGATTCCAGGTGGGTTGGTGATCCTATATGTGACAAAACAAGAAGCTTCTAGAAGATCACATTAGAGAAATTATCAACAACAGACACATTAAAATGTGATCAACTTCAATGAGTATCAGGGAAATGCAAATTAAAGTCACAATGATATACCCACTGGGGCGGCCACCTTAATTAGCAATAGCCAAGTATTGATGACAAAATGGAGCAATAGGAATTTTGTAACTTCTGATGGGAATTTAGGCTAATAGAACCACTTTGGAAAATCGTTTGGCAGTATCTACTAATGTTGAACATTATATATATAAATAATACATCCCCAGCAATTCTACTCCTAGGTATATACCCAACAGAACTTAGTAATGTGGCTGGGTGCCTATAGTCCCAACTACTAAGGAGGCTGATGGGGGAGGATTGGTTAAGCCCAGGAGTTCAAGACCAGCCTTGAACAAAGTGAGACACCCATCTCTTAAAAGAAATAAAAGAGTGATGTGTACAACAATGTGTGTACATGTGTACAGCCTACAGCAATGTTCATAGCAGCATTATTCCTATAGTCAAAATTTGCAAAGAACAAAATGCCTGTCATTTAGAATGATCAAATAAGTTGCCATATTCTCATATAATGGAATATAACAGGGCAATTAAAATGAGTAAAATACGGCTATATGCAACAACATGAATGAGTCTCACAAATGTAATTTTGAGTGAATGAAGTCAGATGCTAAAGAATATATTCCATATGATTCTATTTAGATAAAGCTAAACAGGCAACACTGATCTCTGAGGTTGGAAGTTAGTGTAATGCTTACCCTTTGGGGAAGTAATAACTGAGAGGGAGGGCGTGGGAGCTCCTAGATGGCTGAAAATCTTCTGTTTCTTTATCAGGGTACTGGTTGCACAGCTGCAATCATTTTGTGAAGAGCCATCAAGCTGCATATTTATGATTTGTGCACTTTTCTGTATGCACACTATAATAAAACATTTAAACAAGAATGCACCATGGCATATGTTTACCAGTGTAGCAAACCTGCACAGCCTGCACATGCACCCCGGAGTTTAAAATAAAATAAGCAAAGTGAAGTAGTTTGCCCAAGACACCACAGCTAATTAGTAGTGAAGCAGGGGTTTTAATTCAGGCAACTCGGTCTGACTCCAGTACTTATACTACAATAAATACTTTATTTATGTTGAAAAAAAAAATAAGACAGTAGCTTCCCTCCTTACCTACTCATTGCTCTCGATAACTCTAGATCTACCTCTTTTTCGCTGTGTACCTTGAGGAAGCTGCCTTTTCTGAGGCTTAGTTTTTTCATTCGTAGAATGAAGGCAACTCATTTATCCAATAAAGATTTCCTGAGCTCCCACTACATGCCAGGTATTGTTCTAAGTGCTTAGGATACATCAGTAAAGCAAACTTACAAAGACCTCTGCCCTGTGGAGCCTAAATTCTAGAGATAGAGAAGAACAGGCAGTATACAAATTAATATAATAAATTATATAGTATGGAAAGGTAAGTAAGTACTATGGCAAAAAGACAAGAGTTGCTGACAAAAGAAAGCAAGAGGCTCTTTGTGCTCTTTGATGGGTTATAAGCTCATAGAAAGCTTGGGGAAAACAAGGAGGATCAAGAGTGTGGAGGGAGCAAGTTGCAATGTGAAATAGAGTAAAAATGTATAAAGTTTTATTTATTATTGTTATTTTTATTTTTTGAGACAGAGTCTCACTCTGTCACCCACGATGGAGTGCAGAGGCATGATCTTGGCTCACTGCAACGTCCGCCTCCCGGGTTCAAGCGATTCTTCTGCCCCAGCCTCCCGAGTAGCTGGGACTACCAGGTCATTTTGTATTTTTAGTAGAGACGGTGTTTCACCATGTTGGCCAGGCTGGTCTCAAACTTCTGACCTCAGGTGATCCACCTGCCTCAGCCTCCCAAAGTGCTGGGATTACAGGTGTGACCCATCGCACCTGAGAAGCACTTGTCACAATCTAAAATGCTATACATTTTGAACCAGGGGAGGTAGCTGGTCCAAATGCAGGGAAAGGGGACAGTGAGTGTGAAGGGGATGAGGCAGCTAAGATTGCAGACGGACATGAAATGTCATCTCCCTGAGAAAGGGGCATTTGAGGAAACACCTGAAGTAAGTTATGTAAGCTGGGCAAATATCTGGGAAAGGTTAGCTCCGGGCAGCAGGAACACAAATAAAAAGTCCTAAGGCGAAGATGTGCCTGCGTCTTTGAGAATATAAGGAGGTCAGTGTGGCTGGAGCAGAGTGAGCAATGCGGAGAGCGGTGGAAGATGAGATCCGAATGTCTGTGGGGTGCCAAAGTGGATGTGGCCTTTTTTTCAAGCATTGTAAGGACTTTGGCTTTGAGCCATGTTAACATTCAAGCACAGAAGTTATGGTTTGAACTAAGTTTACAGTCTCTCAGGTGGGCAATAGTAGAAGCAGAGAGGCCAATTAGGAGGTTGTATCATGCGGGTCCCATGAAGGAAACAGAAACCATTCTGGGCATTTCAAATAGAAAGGGACTCAAGAAACAAAATTAGAGGCTTGCAGATTGGAAGGGTTGGAAGAGAAGTAGTCGGGCTTCATTGTGGGCATTGCCCTTCAAGGTCACACCACTGTAGCTCAGACTCAGTTATCAGTAAGCTAGTTCTGCGCATGCAATTATTGCCACACCTATAACTGACCCTCACACCGATGAAACTGGTAGAGACACCCTGGAAGGAACAAACAGCCCAGAATCTGATCACCAAAATAGTCGTGTCTGTCTGCCTTTACTTGCCAGCGGCCACTTCAGGCCCCGCTTCACTTACCACCTTGTACTGGATGGTAATACAAAATGTGTTTTGTGTGTGATTATTATTAGGAACTAATTAACAGACCCAAATTACAATGAAGTCTAGGAAGTGTCGTTTTTAATTCTCCAATCTTGCCACGTGTGAGGAGAGCAATAAGAGAAAGTGAGAATAAACAATCTCATTATCTATCACAGAGGGGACTGTAATGATACAAGTGAGACACAGAGGGTCTTAGACCAAGGTGGTAGCAGTGCAATGGTGAGAAGTGGTTGGATTGGGTTCAGTCTATAGTTTGAAGTTAAATAACAGCTTTACTCATGGATTGGGGTGTGAGAGAAAGAGAGGAGTCAAGAATAACTCCAAGCTTCTTAGTCTGAGCCACTAGGAGAGTGAAGTTTCAGTGTTGTCAGGAGACAGCATGTTTCAGTTACAGCATGGAGGTGGAAAGAACTTTTAGAAAGAGGCTGAGGATATGGGGCAATTTACTAACTGTCAGCCATGTGTTCCAGGGGGAAGAGTAGAAGTGTTTCAGGAGGTAGGAAAGTGTGAGGTATGGGGTTAAAAAGGGGACAGGTAGAGTCTTCGGTGGATTGGGGTCTGAGGACATGGGATATCTGGCGATCTGGGCTTCATAAACAGGGGCTAAGGGCAAAAACAGATTGTTCGTTATGAGCCCCAGGCAGACAGTGGCAGTGAGGCTGTGAATACTGGTGTGAGGGAGAGTTCTATCAAAAGCACAATCTGGAGACTCCCCATAGACCCTTGCTGGTGGGGGCCCATGAACTCATATTTATAACCAATACCCAAGAAGACTCTTGTGCGTATAATGCCACCTGGTTCCTAGGTGCAACCTGCTGTTTTAAATAAGAAACTGTGTTTGCCTTGTGATCCTGGGAAATAGGAGTAGCAATAAGTACATAAAGTGCTGCTGTGAATTCTCCACCTGCTTCTATAAGCCACATTGGTGAATCCACAGCAGCTAGCAAGGTTATACCACAAGCCAGGCCAAACTCCTACAAACATCTTTGCTCAAGAAGATCACAACTTGGCCAGGCGCGATGGCTCATGTCTGTAATCCCAGCATTGGGGGAGGCTGAGGTGGGCGGATTGCCTGAGGTCAGGAGTTCGAGACAAGACTGACCAACATGGAGAAATCCCATCTCTACTAAAAATATGGTTAGCTTGGCATGCTGGTGCATGCCTGTAATCTCAGCTACTCGGGAGACTGAGCAGGAGAATCACTTGAACCCGGGAGGCGGAGGTTCGGTGAGCCGAGATTGCACCACTGCACTCCAGCCTGGGCAACAAGAGCAAAAAAAAATTTTTTTGTGATATTCTCAAAAAAAGAATATCACAACTCTACTTCATAGAACAGCCTCCAACTGCTAAACTATGGCTATTATTTACCTTTGTCACCTCGATTTCCTTTTATTTTTAAGCTTCCAGCACATAACTTCTAAAAACTTTCTGGCTTTCCAATCAACTAAAGTGTTTCCCCTGAAAATTATTGAAGACTTCTCAGAATCCTGATGTTGGACAATAGGAGTGGAAACTACTAGACAGGCTAAAGAGTTTGGGTAGAGCCAAAGTGGTCAAGACGCCTGATGCCCAGGAGAATGGATGAAGCCTAAACCCAGGCCCTGGTCTTTTCAGATCAGGCTGTGTTATTTTCAGCCAGTGTTTAATTCCAGTCATCATTTGTTGACTGAGCTGTGGAGATACAGTCTTTCAACCACAAGAAGAGACTCTGAAGCCCCGTTGCTCAT